TGCTGCAGCACGGGCGTGCACCTTTGGCACGTCCGTGCAGCATCATCTGCACGGATGTGCAATGTTTGGCACGTCCGTGCTGCCTCATAATCACGGAAGCACGTCCGTGCTGCATCATCTGCACGGACGTGCAATATTTGGCACGTCCGTGCAGGCCTTGGCAGAAAGATGGGTTCAGATCTGCACTCCTGCACGGACGTGCAACATCTTGCACGGCCGTGCAGGGTCTTCTGGGCCCTTTTCTTCGTGTTTTCTTCTACGATGCTCTTGTACTTGGATTCTTTCCATCATTTCCTTGCTTCTAACCTCGGTTTGGTAACCATGGGCTTCATTTGGTCGTCTTTGGACCTAAAATCTCAACAAAAACACTAACAACCCGTGAAGCATAGGATACACAAAAATTGCATAATAATAGGGTAAAAGTGAACCAAAACACAAATTGTTCAGGTAAACTAGGTTCAAATACGCCCTAAAACCGCATAAAATAGCAAGTTATCAAATCCCCCCAAGCTAAGCTTTTGCTCGTCCTCGAGCAAACTAGTCATGACAAAACAAATAGAGGGAACTAACTTGTTATAGAAGGTTGAAGCAAAAGTTAAACCAAGAAAGGGTAGGCATACACAATAAACCGAACGATCACTTTTAGCAAAAGTGAGAAGCCGTTTAAACCTACAAGTCGCCTAGTAGGACGAGTCCATCTCTCGTGAGGGTTTCCAAAGAGAATCACCCACAACTCCCACAAACACAACACACGATTTTTTTTTTTTTTTTTATAGCCCAAGTCAACTCATCGGGATGTGATTCAAAAGCAAGACAAGTGAACAACATTCAAAAATCAACATCATAATAATGTACACATGAGTTAGAGACCAAGAAGGATGCTGAACAAGATTGCAATGGAACACTTCCTTAGGCTTTTTACTAGTTCATTAAAGCACATTTGCTCATTCCTAAGTCATAGCACATTTTTATTTTCGGTTATAAAATAGTGAAATACAAGTCCACCTCCCAAGATGCACAAACAAACTCCCTCCACTACACTCTACTATGAGATTTTTACAAGAGGAAACTAAAGATAAAGGGTGTGGGAGGCATCCACAAATTGACCTCAAAAGGGAAATGTAAAATTTTTTTCATAAGATAAAGCCCTTGAATTTGAGACTTTATTTATTTGCTCCGCCTTTTTTAACTGTTAAGCGGCATTTTGTTTTTTTTTTTTTTTTTTTTTAGAAATTGTGGTTTATTTTACCAATTTATTTAATAAACATAAACCTAATAAATCTCAAGCAAAGCTTTATTTTGGGAAGAGTGGAAGGCACACCAAGGGCACAAGGGACCGCAAATCAACTAAACATAACCTACTTCAAGTGTGCTTAGACAATTTCATGAACTTAATGTGCAAATGAACATTCATCGACTTTCATTTCATGTTCAAACCAAGGCAATCAAGTTTAATAAACTCCTATATGACTCCAACCCTTGCATACACTTTTCTAAGAGTAACTTGTCATTCAAAAGTGAAGCAAGTAAATCACACACGAATCGTCATATGAGTTTCATCCTTGGGCACTTTTTCATCATTTTTTTTTCATTTTTTTCTCTCTTTTTTCTTATTTTTTTAGGCATAAAATAACTATACATCTAAATAAGGGATAGGAGAAGTATTCACAATGTAAGGGATTTGGATTTCAAAGGAAGCAATTTGGATTCAAAGGGTTTGGATGTTAGGGAAATGGGAATAGGGGCATGCAAATCAACATATACGTACGAGAACACAGCATGAACCAATGGTAAATGAGAAAATACTCCCCCCAAGCTATCATAAACATTGTCCCCAATGTTGAAACAATATAAGCACAAAGAGAAGGGGAAGGAGATACTAACTCATTGGTTCGGGCCCCCTTGGGAGCTCGAACCCCCGGGGTAGAGATGGTGATATACATTGCGGAAGTCGCCCAATTCCGTTCGAAGACCCTCAAAGCTTGACCTCATTCTGTCGAAAGAAGTCCTCAAGTCTTCATTTGACTTCCTCATGGTCTCAAACTCGGAAGTCATGCGGGCGAAGTTCGCATTCATATTAGCCATCTGCTGCTCGAAGGTGAGGAATGGGTTGCCTTCACCCATGCCCTGACCTTGGTACCCCTCTTGGTACCCTTGTTGGAACTCGTACTGCTGGTGAAATTCTGGTTGTTGCTGAAATTGTTGTTGATGATGATGTTGTTGTTGCTCTTGCTGCTCTTGCCCTTGTTCCTCTCCCTCTTGACCGGGAGCCCAAGGGAAGTCCCTCTCAAAAATCCAGTTCGCCTGGTTGTAGATGGCGGTGGCCTCGGGGTTGGGTAAGTAGGCATAGGGGCGCCTACTCACCAACCACAAATAGGGGTGGTTCCCCTCTACATCCGTGAGCCATTTCATGGCTCTCAGCGACTGCATATCCAACTGTGTTGGACCTGGAACAACCTGCTCTTCTGCAAAATCAAGGTTAAGAGCAGCAGCAATTATAGTAATCATACCACCTATGGTGATGTTGCCTGATCCTGTGGCAACATCTTCTAGGTGGTCCATAAACCAAGACCCCACATTTAAACTCGTACTACCCTCACTCAGATGCCATAGAAAGTAAAGCTCTCGAGTAGACACGACCCCTGAACTGTCTCCCCTAGAAAAAGCTGTGTTCGCTATGGTACGCTGGGCGATCCTAAAGGGAGGGTGAATAATGGCTGTGGCCTTATCAGTTCTAGGGTTATACCCAAACAGCCCTGTGATTCTTCTCCAAAATTCACCCGCCATATAGTTACGGGGTTGCCTATCCTTAGGCCCCATAGTTCCAGAAACAGGCCACCCGAAAGCTTGGTTAACTCTCGCTACGGACATTCTATGTTGGGCATTCATGAGCTGGAAGGTCATGTAACGGGGGGATCTTGTGGTGTCACGGTGCACACAAAGGGAGGAGAGGAATTCTAGGGTTAGTCTCCTATAGGTTAAGGCATGTAACTCTAGCCAAGAACCTAGGTCGGCTCCCTCGAATAACATTGTGATGTCAGCTCCTACCCCTAAGGCGTCCGCCACCTCACTATCATAGAATTTGGTGGGCTTGACCCGCCTCCTACTGATTTTAAGGAAATTGGCCAAAAAGGCCTGGTCAGCGAAAACTATTCCCATTGTGTCCACTTGCGGTGGATCAACTGGAGGAGGAGGCGATGGGTTCCTAAATCTAAGGGAAGAGGTGTTTCGGGATTGGTTTCTTCTTGGCATGGTTGTTTTTATTTTGTTTTATTTAGAATGACTAAACCCTCCACACAAAGAGATCAAGACACTAAACCAATTCACCAAGTAATTTTAAGGTCAACAACCCAAGACTTAGCCACACCAAAGGACACCACAAAGAATAATCCACACAATCACAAAAACTCACAAAACCTAAACAATTAATCCTCACAATATTCAATTAAACCCATAATGCTTTATATAAAAGCACAAATACTCAACAACTATCAATTCAACCAAGATTGCAAGCAAAAATAAGCACAAAACAATAAGTTTCAAGTATGGAAATAGTAAGTGGAAGGAACGATTATACCGAGCTTAACGTGGGTATAAAACCCGCAAATGAACCTTCCTAGCCTTCCTTTCCCTAGCTTGAACCTTTTCCTTCAACCAATTGTTAAAATTTCAATCCAAAAGAAAACCCCCAAATTGATTTTTTTCTTCTTAGGGTTTCGGTTAATGGGTGATTTTTGGGTTGAAGATTGGAGAAAGGAGTAGTATTTTGCGTTTTTGTTGAAAAGGAGTGTTGATTATGGTGGGAAATGTTGAATTTTGGGTGAGAATTTGGGTGTTTGAGGGTTGAGAGGAGGAGTAAGAGGGGTTAGAGAGAATGAGGAGAACCGTGGGTTTGAGAGGAAGAACAAAAAAAAATTGTGGCTTTTTTCTTTTTTTTTTCGAGCAGTTTCGGCCTTAAATACTTGGTATGCACGGACGTGCAGCATTGGCACGGACGTGCAGCTCAAGTCAGAACGTGCTTAACTTTCTGCCTGTAAAAGCACGGACGTGCTATTATCGGCACGGACGTGCTGCTTTTGGCACGGACGTGCTGTATCTTCCACGGACGTGCTTAACTTGGCAGAATACTTCTCAACTTTCTGCCTTCCTAAACACGGACGTGCCATTTTCAGCACGTCCGTGCTGATTGGCAGGCACGTTTACTCTCCCTTTTTTTTTTTTTTTTTTTTTTTTTATAAGAAAAATTACTAAAATACTCGGGTTGCCTCCCGGAAGCGCTTCTTTATTGTCACTAGCTTGACCATATTACGTTTTCAATCACGAGGGATATCAAATTCATCTAAATGAACTACCTTTGTTTCTTCTTGCACGAAACCATCGAAGTATGCTTTCAACCTTTGGCCATTAACTTTGAATGGTTCACCTTTGTCGTTGGAAATCTCAATGGCGCCATATGGGAATACCTTTGTAATGGTGAAAGGGCCACTCCATCTTGATTTTAGCTTTCCCGGAAACAACTTCAACCGGGAGTTAAATAGCAAGACCTTGTCACCCTCCTTGAACTCTCTCTTGTTGATGTGCTTGTCGTGCCATGCTTTGGTCTTCTCCTTGTAGATCTTTGCACTCTCATATGCATCTAACCTCAACTCTTCCAAGGCATGGAGGTCAAGCATCCTCTTTTCTCCGGCGGATTGGATATCAAAATTCAAGGTTTTGATAGCCCAGTGCGCACGATGTTCTAGTTCCACCGGTAGATGGCATGATTTCCCATAAACGAGCTTGTAAGGGGTGGTGCCAATAGGAGTCTTGAAGGCGGTGCGGTAGGCCCATAGAGCATCATCCAACCTTGATGACCAATCCTTCCTTGACCTATTCACCGTCTTCTCTAGTATCAACTTAATCTCCCTATTTGAAATTTCAGCTTGACCACTTGTTTGAGGGTGGTAAGCCAATGACACCTTGTGCCTCACTCCGTATTTTTTAAGGAGAGCCTTGAAAGATCACTTTGCAAAGTGCGATCCTCCATCACTTATTACGGCACGTGGCACACCGAACCTAGGGAAAATGACTTTCTTGAACAACTTGACCACTACCTTAGCATCATTTGTAGGAGATGCAATCGCTTCAACCCACTTTGATACATAGTCGACGGCCACCAAAATGTATTTGTTCCCAAAAGAGGATGGGAAAGGTCCCATAAAATCTATTCCCCACACATCGAAAATTTCCAGCTCTAAAATGTTATTCAAAGGCATTTCATTCTTTCTTGACAAATTACCGGTCCTTTGACACCGGTCACAAGCTTTAACAACTCCTCATACGTCCTTGAACATAGAGGGCCAATAGAAACCGCATTGCAATATTCTCGCCAATGTCTTGTTAGCACTCATATGTCCTCCACAAGGTGAGGAGTGACACATTGTGATAACTTCATGAATTTCATCGTCGGGGACACACCTTCTAAAAAGACCATCAACACCTTGTTTAAAGAGCAAGGGGTCATCCCAAAAGTATTGGCGGACATCATGGAGGAACTTCCGCTTTTGTTGATAGGTGAGGTCGGGAGGAAGGATGGAGCAAGCCAAGTAATTTGCAATATCCGCAAACCATGGGGCCGGGGCTTGAATGATTGCGAATAATTGATCATCCGGGAATGAATCATCAATTGGCAAAGCTTCAATTTCACCTTCTACGATCGGTAGCCGTGAGAGATGATCGGCTACTACATTCTCGGCACCCTTCTTGTCCCGAATTTCTATATCGTAGTCTTGTAAGAGCAAGACCCACCTAATCAACCTTTGTTTAGCGTCCTTCTTGGACAGCAAGTACTTCAAAGCCGCATGGTCGGTGAAGACTATAACTTTGGAGCCCACCAAGTAAGACCTAAACTTTTCGATAGCATGGACGATGGCTAGGAGCTCTTTTTCAGTCGTTGTGTAGTTTCTTTGTGCTTCATCAAGAGTTTTGCTAGTGTAATAGATGGCATGGAGCTTTTTATCCTTCCTTTGCCCAAGCACAGATCCAACGGCATAGTCCGAAGCATCACACATGAGTTCAAAAGGGAGCTCCCAATTCGGTGGTTGAATGATGGGAGCCGTGATCAAAGCTTCCTTCAACCTATCAAAGGCTAGCAAACAATCATTAGAAAACACAAAAGGGGCATCCTTTACCAACAATTGAGTGAGCGGCTTAGCGATTTTGGAAAAATCTTTAATGAACCGGCGGTAAAAACCCGCGTGTCCAAGAAAACTCCTTATACCCTTCACATTAGTGGGGGGAGGGAGGCGCTCAATAACCTCAATTTTGGCACGATCAACCTCAATGCCCCTACTAGAAACAACATGTCCCAACACAATACCCTCTTCAACCATGAAATGACATTTTTCTCAATTAAGCACAAGGTTCACCTCTTGACATCTTTTTAACACTTTAATCAAATTACTTAGGCAAGTGTCAAAAGATGAACCGCAAACAGAAAAGTCATCCATAAATACCTCGATTGATGATTCAAGCATGTCGGAAAAGATAGACATCATACACCTTTGAAATGTAGAAGGTGCATTACATAATCCAAATGGCATCCTTCGATAAGCAAAGGTGCCAAAAGGGCATGTGAATGTAGTCTTCTCTTGATCCTCGGGTAGGATAGGGATTTGGAGGAATCCCGAATACCCATCCAAGAAGAAATAGTGACTATGTGATGCCAACCTTTCCAAGATTTGATCGATAAAGGGGAGAGGGAAGTGGTCCTTCCGAGTGGATTTGTTCAATTTTCGATAGTCTATGCACATTCTCCACCCGGTGACCGACCTTGTAGAAATGGTCTCACCCTTATCGTTCTTGATAATGGTCATGCCCCCTTTTTTTGGAACAACTTGAACCAGGCTAACCCACTTGCTATCGGAGATAGGGTAGATTATGCCCGCTTCAAGAAGTTTCAAAACCTCTTTTTTAACAACTTCTTTCATGTTGGGGTTGAGCCTTCTTTGGTGCTCAATTGAGGAGTCATGATCATTATCAAGCAAAATCTTGTGCATGCATGTCGTGGGACTTATCCCCTTAATGTCATCAATGGCATACCCAATGACACTCCTATACTCCCTCAACACAACTAGGAGTTTCTCAAGGGAAGTGTCATCAAGGTTGGTATTGACAATAACGGGATAAGTCTCATTATCATCAAGAAAAACGTATTTAAGTGAAGGGGAAAGGGGTTTAAGTTCAACCTTAGGAGGAGGCGTAGACCTCTCCTCTTTTACCTCCACCTTAAGTGCTTCAAACTCCCTTGCCTTGCCATGTAGGGGTTGGTCTAGCAACAACTTGTACCCCTTAGCTTCATCATCATCATTGTACAAACTTTCCGTGAGGATCGCTTGTAGAGTATCTTTGCTATTGTTCATCATCTTCAATTCCTCCACTTCTCGGTCAAGAGTATTGATTCTATTGATATCCTCATACATAGGCTTCCTCATGGCTTGCGAGAATGAGAAAGAAAATTTCTCATCTCCCACATTCAATGTTAGCTTGCCTTGTTTCATATCAATTACCACTCCCGCCGTGTTCAAGAACGACCTTCCCAAAATGAGAGGAACCTTGTTGTCCTCCTCCATTTCCATCACCACAAAGTCACAAGGTACAAAAACTCTTCCCACTTGTACCGGTACATCTTCAAGTATTCCCATTGGTAATCTAACCGAACGATCGGCTAGTTGTATTGAGATTCTTGTTGGCTTCATCTCACCAACTTTTAAATTTTTCGCAATTGAGAAGGGCATCAAGCTTACACTTGCCCCAAGATCACAAAGAGCATCCATGGCTTCCATATCTCCAATCTTCACCGGAATTGCATAGCTACCCGGGTCACCAAGCTTTCGGGGAAGCTTGTTTTGAATGATTGCGCTCACCTCCATTGGAAGGGAGATGGTTGCACTCTCTTCAAGCCTAATTTTGTTGGACAAGAGATCTTTTAAAAATTTCGCATATGTAGGCATTTGTGACATAGCATGAAGAAAGGGAATGTTCACTTGGAGCCCTCTCATGACCTCAAGGAACTTTGAAAACTTCTCATTCAATTTTTTCTCTACCAACCTATGAGGGAAAGGAATAGGTGGCTTGTAGACTCTCATTGGGGGTTTCTCCACTTCAACTTCAACTCCCTCTCCTTTCTTTGTGTCTCCCTCAACACTCTTTTCTTTTTCTTTTCTCTCAACTTCTACCACCTCATTTTCAACATCATTCTCACTTCTCACCTCCACACCCTCATCTCTCTTTTGTGGCACATCTTCACTCATTACCGGACCTTCATACCCTCTCCCGGACCTCAATGTGATAGCCTTGACATGCTCCTTCGGGTTCACAACCGTTGAGCTTGGAAATTGACCACTAGCATTGGAGGTAGAACTCCCAACTTGTTGTGCAATTTGAGCTAGTTGATTCTCAATTATTTTGTTGTGCGCTTGAAGTTGTTGGATGTTGGAGCTCATTTCTGCATTGCTCTTCCCTTGTTGCTTTATGAAAGACTCAAGAGTGGCCTCAAGGGAAGTCTTTTGGGGTGGAGGAGGTTGTTGGTTGAATTGTTGTCTTTGTTGGTTTGGGTGGCGGTATGGGGCTTGGTGATTTTGTTGATTTTGGTTGTAGATGTTTTGAGGAGGGTTGTTGTAGTTGGATTGTTGGTTTTGATTGGGTTGTCTCCACCCTTGGTTTTGTTGCCTCCAACCTTGATTGAAAGGTTGCTCATTTCTTTGGTTCACGGCCGCAACTTGCTCATTAGTAGCATTGCAATATGAAGCCATGTGATCATTACCCTCACAAGTCTCACAAGACATGACTTGTGGTTGTGGTTGTGAAGAGGAGGTACCGCTTGAGGAGGTTGCTTGGTCTAGCTTGTGAGCTAGCATATCAAACTTTGAGGCAATGAGATCTATTGCACTCAACTCATGCATACCTTTCTTCTTCGGTTGACTTTCTCTTCTATCATATCTATAGGCGTAATGCCTTGCAACTTCTTCAATCATATTCTCGGCTTCTTCCACCGGTAGCTTTTTAAGACTACCACCGGCTCCGTTGTCAAGATTGGCCCTTGAGGTAGGAGTGAGACCGTCGTAGAAGCTTTGAATAATCATCCATAAAGGCAACCCATGGTGTGGACACTTCCTCTTTAGATCCTTGAATCTTTCCCATGCTTCACCTAAAGGTTTCATCATCCTCTTGAGTGAAGCTTGTAATCTTCCTTCTCAATTCCGCGGTCTTTTCGGGCGGACAAAACTTCCCAAGAAATGCTTTGGTAACCTCTTCCCATGTTGTTAAGGATCCTTCTTTCACGGACCTCAACCAACACTTAGCCTTGTCCCTAAGAGAGAACCAAAACATATGCATCCAAATGAATTCCTCCGTGAGGTTGTTTTGCTTGATGGTAGTGCACAACTCAAGGAAGTTGTCTAAATGAGCTAGAGGGCACTCATTTGCACTCCCCCCGAACTGTTCACTTTGGATCATCCTTATGAGTTGAGGAGAGAACTCAAAGTTGTTTGCATTGGTGGTGGGAAGAAGTATGCCACTCCGAAGTTGGAATGCCTCGGGGTGGTCATAGTCTTGTAGAAGTGGAGGAGGCGGTGGGTTGGCCATCTCTTGCTCGTTGTCAAGATTATCCTCCGACTCGGAATCCGTATAAGCTAGAGAAAAATCCGGCGTGCCTTGTAGGAGCCTTCTTACATTCCTCAAAGTTCTATTTAACTCCGGATCTACGGGGATAAGCGGTGATTGCTTACTCCTCCGTGTCATGCACAGTCAAACAAAGCTAAGGAAAACGTTAGCAATGACTATCACAAAGTAAACACGCTTAAACAAAAACAAAATAAGAAAATTATATACATATACACAAATCTAGACTCATTCAACAATAACTTATTCAATGTGACTTTGCCTCCCCGGCAACGGCGCCAAAACTTGATAGGACGTCGTCAACCTATCAAGAAATAAGACCTAACTCGATCCTACTAAACTAGTAGCAAGGGCAAGAAAGGGTCGAACCCATGAGAGGCGTTGAATCAACCACCAAATGTTATTGTTTAAACAAGCTAGATTAAGTCGGGGGTTTTAAGTTGGTATTACGTCACACTATTCTAATTCAAATCAACTAATTCTAAGAGGTGATTAACAATATTAAGAAGGCCTAGGGCATGGGTTACACCACTCAACTTCATCACGGACCACAAGTAGCATGCATAGAAATGGTGATTTAGGGGATAAATTAGGGGAAGTTATCAAATGCACCCAACTACTCTCCCAAGCTAGAGGGATTACTTGACATCAAAACCATAACCTACTCTCGTGATTATGGGCAAGAAACAAGTGTTAAAACATCCTCACGATAACATGCAAATTCCCTTGACTAGAAATTCCTATTCTCATGGCAAATCAAGTCAATCAAGCATAAGGGAGCTTCCTCAAGTTCATCTCTCGATCCTTCGTTGAGGAAGCTAGATAAATAATTCAAGCAATGGCCAATTACAAGAATTAACAATGAAACCTCTTAAACTCAACTAATTAACACCCCACAATTAACAAATTAGTACATGCAACAAGTGTTGGTGATTACATTGAGGGTTCACCCAAACCCTAGAAATTAGACTACTCACAATCCATGGAGGTTAAAGCAATTAAAGATTTCAAGGAATTCATGAACAAATTAAAACTAAGAATTAAGTAGAATCTAACAATTAAACATGCAAAGAACAACCAAACAATTAATAAAAAGCAAGAATTAAAGATAGAAGAGAGAAAGAAAGAGTAAGAAAAATTACTAGAAGCTTCAATAATTGACTAACAATGGTGGAACTTGTCTTCTACAATGATTGGATTGAAAACCTTCAAAACAAGAACTAAAATCTATGCTAATTTGAGGATTTTTGTGTTTCAAACTAAGAGGAGTATCAAAATCTGAAAAAATTGGGAACCCCTCTAAAATGGTCCAAAGGGGCTATTTATACTACCCCCTAAAATAAGAGGACGGAGAAAACAAGAAACGGGTAAACTGTAGGTCTGCACGGACGTGCTGAAGTTGGCACGTCCGTGCAGACCAAGGCAGAAACTCAGTTTAAGACGACCTGCTGCAGCACGGGCGTGCACCTTTGGCACGTCCGTGCTGCATCATCTGCACGGACGTGCAATATTTGGCACGTTCGTGCTGCCTCATAATCACGGAAGCACGTCCGTGCTGCATCATCTGCACGGACGTGCAATATTTGGCACGTCCGTGCAGGCCTTGGCAGAAAGATGGGTTCAGGTCTTCACTCCTGCACGGACGTGCAACATCTTGCACGGCCGTGCAGGGTCTTCTGGGCCCTTTTCTTCGTGTTTTCTTCTACGATGCTCTTGTACTTGGATTCTTTCCATCATTTCCTTGCTTCTAACCTCGGTTTGGTAACCATGGGCTTCATTTGGTCGTCTTTGGACCTAAAATCTCAACAAAAACACTAACAACCCGTGAAGCATAGGATACACAAAAATTGCATAATAATAGGGTAAAAGTGAACCAAAACACAAATTTGTTCTGGTAAACTAGGTTCAAATATGCCCTAAAACTGCATAAAATAGCAAGTTATCACTAATTGAATCAAAAGAAAGTCAAACACATTCAAACAAAGCTGATTAGATCAAATGTAAGTCAAACACATTCCAACAGAGCTTTTTGAATCAAATTAAAGTCAATGCATTCAACAAAGCTAATTGAATCAAACGAAAGTAAAAAACATCTAAAAAAATCTAATTAAATCAAATGAAAGTCAAACACATTCAGACAAAGCTATTTGAATCAAATGAAATTCAAATGCATTCTACAAATCTAATTGAATCAAATGAAAGTAAAAACATCTAAAAAATTCAAATTAAATCAATAAAATGTCAAACACATTCAAACAAAATTATTTGAATCAAATGAAAGTCAAAGGCAATCTATAAAGCTAATTGAATCAAATGAAAGTCAAACACATTCAAACAAAGCTAATTGAATCAAATGAAAGTCAAACACATTCAAACAAATCTAATTGAATCAAATGAAAGTAAAACACATTCAAACAAACCTAATTGAATCAAATGAAAGTCAAAGATATTCAAACAGAGCTAATTGAATCAAATGAAAGTCAAACACATCCAAACAAAGCTAATTGAATCAAATGTAAGTCAAACACATTCAAACAGAGCTTTTCGAATCAAATGAAAGTCAAATGCATTCAACAAAGCTAATTGAATCAAATGAAAGTAAAAAACATCTAAAAAAATCTAATTAAATCAAATGAAAGTCAAACACATTCAGACGAAGCTGTTTGAATCAAATGAAAGTCAAACACATTCAACAAAGCTATTTGAGTTAAATGAAAGTCAAATGCAATCTACAAAGCTAATTGAATCAAATGAAAGTTAAACACATTCAAACAAACCTAACAGAATCAAATGTAAGTCAAATACATTCAAACAGAGCTTTTTGAATCAAATAAAAGTCAAATGCATTCAACAAAGCTCATTGAATCAAATGAAAGTCAAAAACATCTAAAAAAATCTAATTAAATCAAATGAAAGTCAAACACATTCAGACAAAGCTATTTGAATAAAATGAAAGTCAAATGTATTCTACAAATCTAATTGAATCAAATGAAAGTAAAAAACATTCGAACAAAGCCAATTGAATCAAATGAAAGTCAAACACATTCAAACAACCTAATTGAATCAAATGAAAGTCAAACACATTCAAACAGACCTAATTGAATCAAATTGATGTAAAAACTAATAGATGAAATTAGTTTAAACAAGTTAATGAATCAAGCTTAAGCAAAGGATTGAGAGAAGGTTGGTGTTTAGGTACGTTTTTGTAGGATTTTAGGTGGGTTTTGGGGTTGGAAAAAATGTAGGTTTGTAAGGATTACTCACTTAACAAACAAGGATATGAAGGCAAGGATTTCTCACTCAACCTACTAAGTTCAAATTGTATGGAAGGATTACTCACTTGACCACTCAATCTCTTCAAGTCTAACTTGGTACAAAAACCGGTTATTTCACAAACAAATAATCAGTTTTTAAGTTCAAGCAAAAGATCTTTTTCATTGATCAAAATCTGCTTACAAACTATAATTACACGCCTTTTATAAGCAACTAAAAGAACTAACAATCATTGCTTTACATAAAGAAGCAAACTGATTTATTAAAGCTTTAAACAACGAAAATGAAACTAAGCCTAAGATTACGTCTAAGTGCAGCAGCCTCTTGGTCTTCATATGCCCCTTAACTTCCTTATTAAACGCATGTAAATGAGCTAAGCAAACAGCCACAAATTCAGCAAGAAAACCGTTGGAGGTGCATTTGTAACCCCCCCTTGATTCACGCCTCCTTCATTATTCATGCATTGAAGTTTCTCCTTGAGTTCCTCTCCATTCCCACGGCTCTCCAACTGAAATGGCTGTTCAAAATGCTTCAATTAACGTGCTTAATGAGCAATTAAGCAAGTAAATCCATGATTAAAACCAAACGGACCATGGGCAGCAAAAGAATCCAAGGTTTGGTCTTCAAATGATTTCGCAAGTATTACTTCTTTGGGCGAACCGTAACTTGGACTTGTGCTTGGACTTGGATGAAATTTGTGACTAGGACTAATAGGACTTTCGTGATTTGCATCATCCTCCCCTTCTTCGAAAGGAGTTGTCCTCAACTCGTCATCTTCTAAATAAGGAGCTAGGTCACCAACATTGAAAGTTGATGAAACTCCAAATTGCCCTCCAAGATCAACTTTGTATGCATTATCATTGATCCTTTCCATGATTTGAAAAGGACCCTCTGCCCTTGGCATCAACTTGTGCTTTCGTTGCTTAGGGAACCTTTCTTTTCGAAGAAAAATCCAAACAAGATCACCCACTTCGAATTTTCTCACATTGCTCAAGTGTTTGTTTGCTTGCTTCTTGTAGGACTCGTTAGCTTTCTCAATGTTCTTCCTAACTTCTTTATGAACATTAATCATGAACTCAACATGCTCCTTGGCTGTCCCATGAACAAATTTGTCCTTAGGAATTGCAATGTAATCAATAGGAACATAAAGATTGACCCCATAAACAATTTCGAATGGTGAGTATTTCGT